GGATGAGCAGTGGCAGGGCCACCATGGCAGCAGCATGGATCCAGTGGTGCCTCCCAGTGTTTCACTGAGAGGGAAGTCTTGGGGATGGCACTTAAAGCCCCTCAGGCTTTCCTCTCTGGTTTGGAAGGACTGATGTTCTGAGTAAGATCGTATCAGTGGATCCAAAATATGCATGCAGGGGTATCATTCTCTTTATTTGCACTGAGCACACGAACGGTTGTCTTGGTCACTCAGAGAGTGACTTTCTCAGTCACCATTTTAAAACCATCCTGAGGCTGCACAATAAACTGCAACACAAGTAAACTGCCCCAAAATAGAGTCATGGAATCATTAGAATTGGAAAAGACCAGAAAGATCATATAGTCCAACCACCAACCCATCACATCATGCCCACTAACCATGTCCCCCTGTGCCACACCTAAACATTTCTTGAACACCTCCAGAGGTGGTGACTCCACCACCTCCCTGGGCAGCCTGTGCCACTGCCTCTCCAGTCTTTCTGAGAATAAATGTTTCCTGAATTTCCCCTGGTGCAACTTACAGCCTTTACTTCTCATCCTATCAACAACATTAAATCAGTTTGGCTTTTCATAGCTTTATTCTAAGCTGGCACACCTAATCTCCCTTTTGTGGAGGTATAAACAGAACAAATGGCCTTACATGTAGACACTACTCCTTCTCTGGAATTGTACAAATTATTAAAGATGAGAGCTGGAGAAATCCAAAGCAGAAAAAGGATGAGTCCACAAGCAGCTTTTATATATTCCGAAACATCTTTCTAAAAATCCTGGATCTATTTCTTTCCTTCCACCACTGTTATTTTTTTGAGGGAAAGGGTTGTGTGGGATTTTATTTCTTACATAAACAAACTGATGTATGAGTTCAAAGTAACACCAGGCAGTTTCAGCTGTGACCCTGGGCAGTGGGAAGCACCACTGCAACCCTGCATCCATCCCTGCATTCCAGCACTGAGGCAGCAATGAGGGCAACATTTCCAAAAGTCATTATGATTATTAATGTCCTCATTCCATTTCTTGGAGCTCCTCCATTATTGCAACTCCTGCTGCCTGCAGCTTGTCTCTGCAAGGTATGCCACCTGATGTCAGTTTGTGATGCCATCCCATATGTCTCCCCATGCTAAATGCTACTCTCTCATCTGACTGGCTGGCAGCAGCTTTGGGCAGCAGGTATTCCTGCAGTTTTCCAGAACTAAAATCTGGATAATCTCAGGTGCTTAAACTAAAGATTCCACTTGAAAACTCCAATTATACTTTACACTGCTGCTGTGCGCTTGTCAAAACAGCATTACTTCAGGAAGGCTCCACTGCGTGAACGCTGTGGCGTTTTGATTTTTTTACTATCTCAGTGAAACAGTGGGCGAGTATGATTGGTGCCTGACAGCTTGGGTAATTGAAATGCAAATGCCTAAACTCTGTCAGTCATGTGAGAAACAGTCAATTAAATAGAGACATCTCCCATGACAAGGGTAATTAAATGGGCCGCTTTTCCTCTTACTGTGCAAAGATTTTTCTTAATTTCCTGCCACTTGCTGAGCCAGCTTTCCTGCATGGGCTTGCAGCCCAGGTGTGACTGCTTGTGCACCTCTGTACCTCCCTTTATATCCCGGAGCAGGGCAGGAAGCCAACTCTGTTCCCTCTTTGCAGGGATGAAGCGCTGCTAAAGAAATCTGCTGTCCTGCCAGAGCAGAAGAGCTGCTCAGACAGATGTCAACATCATCTGGAGCCCTTGTAAAGCACACAGACCTGCATAACTATTTGTTTCCTTGCTTTGTTGCTTAGCCCTGTTGTCTTATCACTTCTGGAGGGTGGCTGTAAGGACACCACAGGCCTTAACCCTGCCCTGGCTGCTTGGTGAATTTGTCAGGCTCAAAGGAAAAGTCCTGCAGGCAGCTCCCACAGCTCCTGTAAACGCAGCCAGAGTTTTCATTGAGAAAGGTTTGCAAATGAGCAACCAATCCTCTGCGTAACCTCTGGGTCGTGGCTGGTCAAACCACTGAGCTGCTGTGGGTACTCTGTGATGGAGGCTGACACTGAACTCAGCCTCTACAGTCGTTTAGAGACGATAGATTTGGCGTTATTGACCCTACCTAATGCATGATGAACTGGAGATGGAAAGAGCGAAAGTCTACCTCAGGAAGGTACATCCTTCAACCCATGGTGTGGGCTGAGCACAGTGTACTAAAACGAGGCCCCTCAACTTCAGAAGGGTATCCAAAGCAACCAAGATGGTTTGAGCATACTCATCTAACTCCTCTCCCCCATCATGCATTTGCTCAACAGATCTATCCATTGATTTTCATACTGTGTTTCGATGGTCACCTCTTTGGGAACACTGTTGCATCTCACTCCAGTGCTTTTCTGTACACATTTCCAATTTCAGAGATGCCAAATCTCTAGCCTTCTCACATATAGGCATCTAAGCCATGCTAAACAGGAAGGCTTCCTCTATCCCCAAGGAGAGAGGGAGAGATCACAACACAGCGGTTCAACTTGTCTCTGGAGATCGTTCTCCATGGACCAGAGACATCTTGCTGACAACCCCGGTGGGGCTCCTCACTTCAGACAGAAAAAGCCAAGGGAAATGAGCTGTGTCTGAACAATGTCACATGCTGGACTCCTGATTCCTTCTTCTACTCTGATGTCACCACTGTACCTGTTGGCTTCTACAGACATTTCCCTGCAGGGCTAAGCTGGCCAGCACTCCACTTGCTAGGTCAATTTTACCTCAGATGTTGTCTGCTGTGGAACTGCTACAGGCCCCAGGGTCAGCATCTCTTTGCCCCAGTGCTGATGGCCCTCCAGAGAGACTCAGGCAGGCATCATCATGCTGCTCACAGCTAACTCACATCTTGGAAGTTTTCCCTGTACATTTTATTTTCTTAATGATTCTGACATGATTAATATTGGCTCTCAGAGTTCAGGGTGAGAGTTTTCAGAAAATAAAAATAGAATATTGATATGTGAGCTGACAAAATGTAGACCACATTATTCTTTAAGAAAATTATTCCAGCACTGCTGTTAATATAACAAAACAAAGGCTTCAGTAAACACAGATAAGACCTATTTGTGGTTCAGCGAGCAGCAGTTAAGATTCATAGACATAATAAAGGTAGGATTTTTATTATCTCCTTCTAACTAGACAACAAATGCACTCAAAGACAATAAAATGGTCACTTGAAAATGAGAACACAAAGTCTTCTTTCACACATGACTATCTCCATTATGGCCAAGTGGCATGAAAAATGCTGTAACTTTTTCTTTTCCCCCTCCCAGTGCAGCACGAGAGTTAACACTATTCAGATTAACCTGAAGTTGAGAATTTAAGGTCACCAAAACATACACTTCCACAGCTGCTCTTTCTTGTGTTGCTGATTTGTTTCAGGTAAAAAACCATCATTTATGTGCTGCCCAGTAAAAGCATTTGCAGTATTTATATTATGCAGTGCATAATCAGCAACAAATCTCTCTAATATAATCGCCTTTATGACACGTCTCTCTTTCCCCAACGCTTTTTAGAACAACTTAGAGGACTCCTTTGGAAAGATGAGTTTCTTAGAGAAACACTGTTTTCCTATAGTTTTCTTTAGAACAGGTGAGGTTCCGGCTGTCACAAAGCGCAGGTGATTCTTTACTTGAGAGTTTGGGGAGTTTTCCCATTTTGCCAACACTTTCACAGTAAACGTTCTGAAAACTTCTATCTGCACATTGCCATGTTTGTCATCTGCTACTCTGGCAGACAGTATTATTTTTATACATTATCAAGGAGGAGTTGATCTGCTGTGGCAAGAAAGCATATTGGCTGTTCTGTGTGTCTGAAACACAGTGGTCTGTTTTCACTGAAATCCCATGCATTATACTGAAACTACCCTGAAAACTGAGCATAAGATGCCTGTTATTTTAAAGTAGAAGGCTGAGAGACACAGCACAGTATGCAAGGCACTCCTTAACACAAGGTTATTTCCACTTCTTTGTGACTCAGAAACTGTCCTCGGGACTTTTTGAGCAGAACAAAATTATAAGGATCTCTCTCACCAGAAATATTACTACCTCTGTGAGATTTCCTAAGTTTAACATAGTCACAATGTGTTCCACAGTCTCTTCTGAATTACCAATACTAGGAATAAGATGTCCTGGCCTCTCTGATGGGCACAGGAGCTGCTATAAAAGACAACAGTCCTGTAAGTACCTACATTCTGTTTGGAAAGGAAGGCTTAATGCTTCAAAACAATATTCAGATTCAAAGTCTTTTGAATTTAAATCTGAATGCTCTGAGATAATTCTACAGATCTTCACAGAAATCCAAAACAGAGATGGATTATTAGAAGTGTATCACCTGCAGAAATCGAATTTTTTTCATATGATCTAAAGCAGCATAGTTATTGCATGTTATTTTCACCAAACTTTATTGGAAGACAAAGTTTCCAAAGCAGACCAATTATAATTGACCAAGCTGTAAAAGATTTAATAGAGAGAAATGTACTGACTGCAGCAAACTGAGATGCCTGACTTCAGGCATCTTCACTTAAATACTTTGAACATATTTCATGAAATACTGCCTCATTTGTGATTAGCCGTAAGGAAGCAAGACACTAGAAAGAATTAACTCTAACTACATTTCAAATTGCTGCTGCAGTGCCTTCACACTTCATGAAATATGGATCAATTATCTTTTTGGAAGTGCTATCTTTCAGTTCAGCTTTGTGAATCACTGCTCTCTCTCCCTGGGCTTGACCCACTCTTAGTGTTCTTTTAATTAAGTTTGTCTATTTGCTAAACTGCACAAACATTTAGTTTAACCTAGAAAAAGTTACCTGCATTCACAAAACTCCTCAAGTTTTGTGCTCATAAGCACCCGAATTTAAGTGATGTTGCTCTTTGTCCAATGCTAGGTTAAAAATGCTTCTTATGAGCAATTTGACCTGAAAATATCAATGCATAATTGTGCATTTTACAAAATCAAGGCTGCAGCAGAAAGCTTACCTGTCAGCTGAGAGAGCAGTGAGAGTGAAGACTGACACCCCTACAGAAGTGAGTTGTATGAAGGGAATGAGCTTACATCCGATCCTGCCAAACAGCCACTCATCAGCAAGGTACCTGCTGGCATCCACAGGCACACAGGTCACTAACAGCAACAGATCTCCCAGAGCCAGGCTAGAGATGAACAAATTGGGGACGTTTCTCATGGATTTCACAGTACAGAAGATCTTAATCAAAGTGATGTTACCGATAAGGCCTATCAAAATGATGATCCCGTAAATGGTGGGGATGGCGTAGAGGAAGGCTGGGTAGAACCACTCGTCGCTGAGGACGGAGAGGTTTGCGCTCTGGTTGGCAGAGATGTTGTAGAGGATGAAGTTATCAGTTTCCAGGTCCAGCAGCAGGCACTCTCCAGATGCCATTGCCCTACTTTCCTCTTTTCAGAAGACGACTTTCTTTGAAAATCCTCCAAAATTTTTTTTTTTCCTTTAATTTTGCCACTGCTTGGTTGCTTTAAACAGTCGTAAGAGTTTAAAAGTCATATCACCTTGTGACATATGTTAAAAATAAATAGAACAGAAAGCCTCCACACATTGCTCGACAGTACTGCTTCTGTAAACTGAAAGGAGAACATCTTCTAGCAGAGTCTGAATCCTGGAACTTGCCTTTTCCTCATTGCCTTGCCTCGCTGTTAGCTGTTCCTCAGCTCTGGCAGGCTGGTTATCACACCCAAAGACCAGTCAGTGGGAAGCATTTTCAACAAGAAGGCTACTAAATTCCAAGCATCAGCACTGCCGAGCAGAGCAGAGTCTGAAATAAGGGCATTACAACCAGCGAGAACTTTTGGTAGCAGCCGTCACACTGCATTCCCCGACTCTTGCAGCTCTCAGCTCTTGCACTCCACAGCCGGATTTAAAGTGAGGGAAAAGCACCTCTCCTCTGACGGCTCCGATCCTATAGGCAGGATCTTCCGGACGTCAATTCCCCCCCGGCTTCCCATGATGAGAGCGGGCTGGCTGACACGAGCGCACTCATTCCGAGGGAGCAGCGCCGGAGAATGCCAGCCACCTACTGGACGATCCCATCACTGCCTGCTAGGAGAAACACGGGGAAAGAAAACCTCCGTTAACTCTTTAGATGAAAAAAAACAACCCACAAACAACCTGCTCTCTGACACCTTGTGAGACGAAAGTCACTGCCTCAAGCAAAGCTTCGTTTATTCCGTGCTGTGGATGATGTGATCAGAAAAGCAATTCTGCCCTCTTAAGTGAGATCGCGCTTTGTTTGCACTCTAGTATTCATTGTTCCAGTGAAGGAGTGTAATGATAAGGAGCCAAATTCATCCCCCAGAGCAAATGAGCTGAATAAAGCCAATTAAGATAAAATCAGCAATATAGTTAAGATAAGCAGATGAGTATTAGTGCTGTGCACCTGCAGTTAGCCAAGGAAGCCTGAACGCTGCACGCTTTTAATTGGGAGACAACAATAACAAAGGACAGAGTTTACCATTCGGTGCAATCATCGCTATTTACGGGGCACCCACCATACCCACAACTATAGGTAACACAGCAGAGAGAAACTTACTCAGTTGTAAGTCTGAAAATGCTTTCTTAGAGCTTAATTAAGATATAACCAGCACTTATGCCTTACTGCTTTATAACAGATAGGCGATTTATGGTTATATACAAGGACTTTCAGGACTGCAGAGAAATACAGTTAATTTGGAATCCAGCCTGCAGAATTAAATAAAAGCTGTAATTTACGTTTCCCTGTGCAAGTGCTCACTTTTGCAGGCAAAAGAATGTTTTATCCATGGCTAGAATGGCTTGGGAGTGAGGGGGGAGGTGGTTTGATTCAGGCGTAAGTAGTAAGAAATAAAAGTGTGATCAGCAGTTTGTTGAGAAAAGAAATATTCCAGAAAATGATCTGGAAAATATCACTGCCATTGAGAGCAATGTCCCAGAATGGGATTATAGAAGGGAGACTTTGGGAGCTGTTTTCCTGCCTCTTTCTTGTGACCCAGGTCAGTGTTTTCAGCTGCTTCACTGCTGTTCACTCTCAGTCAACAACGGACTTATGTGTACCCTTAAGTAGGTGGAAAACATATGTTTTCAAACTGAGTACCTGAGAGAGCACTGTGCTGAGAGCTTAAGAGAATAGAAGAGAAGCCAGATTTCTTGCTATTCCTTTCAGGCAAAAATCTGCTTTAAAAAATATACCACCATTAAAAAAAAACAGTTCTGCCTGATTCATGTGCACAGGTAGAAATGCTTTGGTAGGTTGGGACCAGCTCAGTGCGGGCTGCCAGGTGGGGCAGAGTCCAGGCAGAGACAGTGTAGTAGTCAGCACAGCACAGCAGGACACATGCTGAAGGCACAGGGAGACATCGTGGGGCTACCAAAGCAGCCTGGCCACATTGTGTCATGGAACACCACTTCCAACTTCTCCAGGTTTGTTGAGAGACTGATCAGAGGAGCTCCTCTTTGATTTCCAAGCTTTGTGATAAAGTGACACTGCTGGAACAGAAGGAGAAGCCACTCAGTGTAATCCCGATGAATCCCCATGTCTGGCAACTTCCTACAATCCTTTTCTGCCCCAAAATGAATGGTAAACTCTGGGATCTGTAAATCTGTCTCTGAGAGCCTGAACAGCTCCAGCTCTCACTGCTAGGCTTTAATCTTCCGGATGGACAATAAAAAGGTGCATTTGCCAAAAACCCTCTAAAAGAGCCAATAAGACATGATTCATCACAGTTTAAATGGTTCTACACTGAAATCTTTTATGCTGTTACATAGTGGAGGGAACAAAGCCAGGAAAGGGAAAGCACTGCTGGAACCACTTGCTATTGTCCAGCAGCCCGTGGTGTTTGTGCTTCTTTTCTTTTGAGGTGAGTGCATAGTCTGTGTCCCAGGCATCTCCACCAGTGAAAAGCGATGTTCTTGTGACTTCTGAGGGGATTCACTTCCCCTTTGTAAGGGGATTTACTTTGTTTCATGGTGCTTTTCAAGTCTAAAGTTACATATTTCTAGTTTTTGCAATTGATAAACACAGGTTTCTGGTTTTAGGATATTTTTGGCCGTTGAGAATGAGAAATGGAAAAGACATGAAAAAAAGGAAAAACTAAACCCCTAAAAAACCGAACAGATCCCATGAAGCCTGAAATACAGTTTAAATTATAAAAACATTCATTGTTTTTGTCAGACTTAGTAGACTCCTTTGAGTTACGTGCCTGCTACCGACACGTAGAACACAGGCCTTATTCAGACTGCCAACAAGTGTTCCTATAAGTAACTGAGGATATATCCCAGAGATGTTTTTTGTCTCTGCATAATTTGCATATGCGTCTTTCATAATGAGATGTTTTGTTTATTATAAATTATTTTGTCTTCCCTGAGCAAGCAAAATATTTGGGCATTTCTATGAGCATAGGCACCTCTGCTAGAGAGTTCACCTCGAGCTCTCAAGTCTCTCTCCAAAGGAAAATAAGCACCATTACCCATGTTTCACCAGGGGTAACCTTCATGCACAAGCAGAAAAAGAGTGGTTGGCACGAAGTTACTTAACAGGCTGCTGGCAGTCATGAATAGAATAACACAGGTCTCCCTGTTCCTGCATTGCAATGCTTTTCTGCTGGACAGTGAGAGATTCCACAGATACTTTGAATAGATGCTTTTTTCAGCTCTCAACTTCTACCCAGCCTCTGAATGAGACAAATGTATTTCTCCTTAATTTTGTACAATGGGGTAAATTTGTGAAAGAGATACATGAGTAAAATATTCAAAAGAAGTCCAACTTACTTGAAAGGTAATGAATTTTAGGCTTCTACATTGCTCACAAACTCACCAACGAGAAATGGAGCCAGATTTCTAAACAAACACAATCTGCATTGAGGGAAATATACGAGCACTCGTTTTTCAAAGAGCTCAATGAGCTACAGCTGCCACAGAGAGAACCACAGGCAGATTTTCAAAGAGCTCAAACTCTCAGTGCACTGAGATCTTTGGAAAGGCACCCATCATTTATTCTTTGTTTGTAGAATATGTATTCTTCCTATTCCTCATAAATAAGATTTTCTGGGTGGAAATCTATTGCAACAAGAGTTTTCTGAGTTGAAGCACAGCACTCACCTGCTGTTTGGGTTTTGGAGAAATGAAGATGTGGGATCCTTTCCAGACAGAAGAGAAACCGTGCAGGCTTCAGGGACTGAGGCTGATGGCAGCCTCTGTGAGGCCCCACAAGGATGCTGCCACGGCCACCTGAAGGCCTTGCAGCTGTCTGAGGCCAGCACCCCTGGGGGTCATCCTAGAAAGGGCATGGTTCTTTCCCAAGAGTGTCACTTGCATTACCTTGCCAAACATGACTGTCCTTGTTGTGGCTTCTTCTGCATCTCATTGGAGGTGAAAGATAAACTCCTTTTCCAGTGACCGTGGATTGCTCCCTGCTGTCATGTAGCATCTATTGATTTACCAAATACTCTTCTTCTGCAAATTATTCACCTCTCAGAGGGAACAAGGTGACAGAAAGCATCCTTCTTATGCTCTGTTCAAGTACGGTCTTCATTTTTATTGCTGCCACCACTACCCATTCACATTGTACTCTGTGTCTTGGTTCACCTCCCTGTTTCAGTTGCTGAAGTTAGCAATAACTGTCCACAAAAGGGTAATTTCCTAGCTGAGTTCATTCCAGAGATCTGATTTACAGCAGAGCTTTCCAGACTGTTAATTGTATTAAAAAATTATTTTTTAAGCAGGGATCCAGGCTCATCTCTGCATGATCTGGAGGTCAGAGGAGCTGGAGACAAAACAAAATAGAACTCTGTTACAGAAGTCCCTTGAGTGGATACCATGAGATAGTTTCTTGTATGTGCAAATATGGAAATGAGGCAGTATCAGACTTGCTCCTTGATCGAGCAGCCCTGCTGCAGATGAATATGCAAGCCACACGGTGTGAAACACTCCCACTGTGCCTTTGAAAACGTCTTACCCATCCTAAATTAAACAACTCCTTCAGCTTGTTATTGAATTGCATAAATCATGTATTCACTCCCAGCATCTCATCATGACATGAAGTCATCAAAAACGGAGGGGATATCTGAACTGGGTAGCACCTATGTGCTCACAGAGAAGGACGGATTTGAAGGAGAAAGCATGCAGATACTTATTTACAGGAATCTCCTACCAGGCTTGAAGAGTAAGTAGAAAAGTAAAATGGCACCTGAAAATACAGGAAGTGAGAGAGAAATTGTGTGGTGGAGCAGCAGAAGGAAGGAACCAGCCTGTGCTCTGTAAAAGTGGGATGGATAGGGACTTAAGAATGCATGTGTGAGATGACCTGAAGGGCAGAGCAGCAGGAAAGGGTGCATGAAGAGTATGGTATGAGCTAAGAGAATAGAAAAGGACCTTTGCAGCTGCCCTGTGCACGTATTGGAA